CATACTTAACTTATTTTTTTTAATTCTTTTAAAAATTATTTTTGTGAAAGTTTATAATAAAAAAAATTATTAAATTGCAAAGTAAAATGATTTAATTTTGTAGTTGAAACCTAACATATCAAACTTGTTTCATCAATAAATACTTTGAAAACATTAGAAATGAATGATTTTAATTGTCTGTAAGGAGAACATGAGATAAGCAACTTTTTAATTGATAAATTAGAATTTTTGAGGGTAATATCTTCAACTAGATACGAATTGTAATCATTTGACGTATCGTTGAAAAAATTAGGTCAAGTGGGAGAAGAAGAATATAAATGACAGTCACAAAAAAATATCTTCTCAGCTTTGCATCGGAGTTAAAACCTAAAATATAGTAAAATAATTTTAATATGAATAAGAAATTTCTTCTCACAAGGGGCGACTACAGTGATGGGATCCTTGATCTTTATTGAAGAATTTATTCATGCATTTATTAAAAAGTTTTAAACATAATGTTAAAATATGTAAAATTTATTATCAAAAATTTTTTCACAAAAATATCATATTTTTTCATACGGTAGTCATTTTTACCATAAAGACAATTGCAGTGATCAAATTTTTTTTTCAAATTAAAGTTTATGTAATAAACTTTAATTTTAAATATATATAAAAGTGTCAGTATTTCTAGAACATTTTCAAAAATTAAGTTGAAAAAGTAAATTTTTTGTGAAAAATTTGCCATTTTGAAACCCTTTCTGTGGTCTGGTAAAGATCAAAATCGGTCGAGCGAGAGCTGAGATTGAGCATTCACAGACACCAAAAAAAAAATAAATACAATAACACATCATAGTAAAATTAATACCTTCTCAGTTTCGCATCTAAGCTAAAAAAAAAAGATAAATAGAAAAATGTTGGCATACGGGAGCACTTCTGCCATGATGATATTTATCATATATATTTTTATTCTGTTGACAAAATCGTTTGACCACTACAGCTTCTCGTATAAGTTCTTCTATTTAAATATCTGCAAGAAACACAAAAAAAAACTAATAATACTAATCCTATTCATATTATAGATTTTTTTAATAAAATTACACATTTGTAGAGCAAAAAACATTTTTCATGCAACTTTCTGTAATATTAATTCAGTTAGCGAATAAAAATACTAAACTAAACGTAAAGTTTTAAATCAGTTTTCTAGAGCACAAATTACACAATTGTAAAATATAACATATTCATTTTCGAAAAAAAAAAATTGTTTTACTAACAAGTTTGAACGGAGTGTACAGAGAGTGTGCCATTGCACAGACAGTTGATTGATTTGATTGCTTAATTGAAATTTAATTCTCAATAAACGTCGCATAAATAAACTGATTGTAATCGTCCTCGATGTACACGCGCATATATATAACACACAAACGTTGTTTAACATTGTCGTTCACTTTAGTCGTTGACACAGTAAAAATGTCAACCATTCGTCTTGGACTAAATACATAAACCGTTACTGGATCGCATGCTTGAAATCAATAGGGTGGTTTTAAGGGTACATTATATATACATATTTATAGAGTCGTTTAGCCGTGTCATTTTACATCAACGACTAATTTAAGCAAACACGTGCGGTGCTGTTTATACGCCGGCCAAATAATTAAAAGTATAATAATTACTCTTTGACGAATAAATTTACTTATCCAGTGAAAATACACTTCTAACTTGAAATATTACGGACAAAAACGATTAAACTTGCAAATTTCTATTGCATTTTTTTATTATTAGAGTCGACAATTTTGGAACATGTATCGCAATACGTTTCATAAAATTGAGTACTTTTAAATAGAAAAAATATTTACTGCTCTCTCCAGAATTTGCACTGAACACTCGATTGAATTCGTCACGGTGGTTTCCAAAACCTAACTAACCTCTTATTATTATGAGCTGATCAGAATTACGCTTCCGTACCTCATACCAAAAACGTTAGTAAAATCAAAATTTTGTACCAGGAACTCATGAGGAGGTATCGACCGGCACTGTATTGTGCGACAAATATCAAAAGCTAGTACCAGGAATGCATAAGGACTAACGTATGCGATATTTGGTGTCTCCGGTAAGTGTCTACCGGCTGAATGTCACGTCACTTGTACGGTCTGGTGTCTTTACAAGAACGGCCACCACTTCATCGCTTCGATAGCGGCGATAACCGCATCTGAAATCATAATGACATTTGTAATGTCGGGACACAAAACACACCGGTATACAATGTATGTCACAAAATTTCTATGCAATCAGAGCGATTTTTCGTTTTTAGGACAGCCTAATGGTGGATGGATTGACGGGACGAGACACCATATCGCTTTCGGCTTTATGAAAAATTTCTCAGGTTAAAACTTCGTACCAGGAATTCATAAGGTAACGCGCAATTAGTCGACTCGATTAATATTATTGGCCCAGGTCAGTGTTTTGAGTGAAATATGTAGATCTAGTACCAGGAATTTATAAGATCTAATGTATGCTATTACACGATCAAAACGAGGGGCTTGAGGGGGACTGATGTGGTTGCTAGCGATTTCCAACATTATTTGATTACATTTGACTTTCATCTGATATTTACCACTCATAATGTTTTTTTACCTCACAATAAGTTAACAGATATGGTTTGACAGCGTTAGTAATTCAAACTCATACAAGTGTATATTTAACTAACAAACAAAATCAGTTGCTTACGGCTACTAAAGTACTAAATCCTACTCTGTTCGTTATAATGAATATAACAGTATTCCTTTAATACAATTTATGGATAAAAAAATATATTTATATGAATAGTTCTTATTTAATTTAAAACCTAATTTTTTTAACTTACTCCAAGTAATTGATCATCACATTATTTTAATGCATATTAAAATCGTTGTTCGATTTTACTCTAGTCGATTGAAATCTATTAAAAACTTTATCGTTGTGTATAATTGGGCGTTATTTCCTATTTTTTAAACAAGTAAAAAAATCATTTGCATGATTTTATTAAAGAAACAAATTGATTTCGACAACTATTGCTTGCGAAAGAAAAAAACAGGAAATATTTAATTACTCAAATCATGAATTTTTCATAGTAGTACATAAGAAAATATCATAATATTGCTACACATATGATCTATAGCATTAAAAACGAATTTTCTCATTTTCAAAGGAAATCGACACAAATGAACGTATTGGATAATTTTTGAAAATAATTTTCGACTTTTCTATAGTTGTAAGAATATTCGCAAAAGCTTAAAACTGTCGAACGAGTAAAGAAACAGAACGTGGGCGTACATGTTTTTATGTGACGTACGTACCCGTTCAAAGGTTCAGTCCAAATATTTTATATATACACAAAATATATGTATATATTTTTATGAAAAATAACTCCATCGTAGTGATCTGCTAGTAAGAAGGTGATGTCAAAAAGAGACGATTGGTAAGGTGAACGCATTATTGTTATTGTGTTGGAACACCTATGAGTGTGTACAGAAGCAATGGAACGCAACAGGTGTTTGGAATATGCGAGTACGGGTGTTCAAATTCGTTACCCAATATACTAACCAAATAACCGGACGTATTCTGTGGTAAAGAATAATACGAGGACGGCGGCGGTGGTAAACGTCCGAAATTATTATCCGACAATATTATGATTGTTATATTGTCCTGTGTACGGCGGCGGTGGCTGAGGCGGCGGCGGATAGTTTATTGACTGTTCGGTGCGTTTCGGAAACGTCGTCGTAAGTCTCCGGTGGCGGCCGTGGGACAAGCGCATTGCGCGCGGACGATATACGAGCACACGGCGCACACACATCGATGACCGGAGGGTGAGGTATCGTGCAGCGTCGAGTATAGATATGTATAATCATGTATACGTATATAATGTGCATACGTGCCCGTCGGCTCTCTGTCCAACGCACGCCGGCACGCCATGGTGCGTTCTCTGTCGGCGCCTACGTCCCCTCTCGGCACACTCGTGTTCGCCGGTATATTCTTTATGCGACCGCCTCGGACGAGCGGGGTGGGGGCGTGGCGGGCGGCGGCGGCGGTAGCGTTGGGGGCCGGGCTCTCTATCAGTTCCGAGACCGTAAACCATTCTCCCGCCCAACACTTCGATTCACGTCCCATTATTGTAAGGACAAACTTTTTGGAGCCCATAGCACACAGCACACACCACCACCGCACACTTTATAGCTTTTATATTGTCGCCGTCGTCGTCCACGTCGTCGTCCAAGTCGTGTGTTTATATTATCCTTTAAAAAAAATAAAAGCCACCTCCATTGATATTTTTATTATTTCATCCGATTCACATCATCTCCGCAAAAAGTCTTTCGAGCGGCCGTAAAAGCCCGCCAAATTTTAATTATTATACCCACGACGAATATTTTTTGTTTTGTTTAATATATTTTTTCGCGACGTCAAAATGCATTTTAAAAATCGACATGTTTTTTATTTGAACAAAACCGTTTTCGGTTGTACGGTATTCGATTTCTGTTAATTTGCGTTTATTTTTAAAAAACACCCTCCGAAGTTTTGTTTTGTTTTGCTCTTGACCAAACGCACTAACACCAACACAAAACGTTAACGAGGAGGACACATTTACTGGATCAAAACGCAAACGGTGAGTGATAACAAACTTTATACGTAATATTAGATTTATCCGCTTAGAGATCCGAAATCGCTGAAATAGATGATAAAAAAACCAACAACTTTATTGGGTTTTAAAATGCTATGGATAAGTGCTGAAGGGTTCGTCCATAAAATCCGAACCGCTCGAGTTTATACACTTGAAAAGTTTTTATGGTACCCACGTGGCTATTCGTTTCGAGAAATTCCACAGAAAGCTCGTAGGACCTCTAAAACGTGTATTATTGACTACCAACAAATTATTTTGTTTCATTTTACAAGACGCTCAGAAACATCACGTTTCAATTAATATCCGATCTTTATGACAGTAAATAATACTTTGATTTAAATTGAATTTTTTCTCAGATTAGAAAAAGATTAAAACGCAACGTTGTCAATGAAAACGTCAAGTCGAATTGCAACGTACGTTTGTAACGAATTTGCCGTTATTTTTATTTCAATTGATTTATTTCAGTTCAATCGTTTGCTCGTTAAACGTGTGATCTTTCAACCTATTTAGCAGTTAAAGCATAATAATCAATTAAAAGCCCATGTGTTGGTAATTAACAGTAAATATTTTCTATTCGATCACTTGACATGAACAATACAGACGATTTATTGCACAAAACATAAACTTTCGTACAAACATAAACATAACAACATGAATTTTCGTGCTAGTCATTTTTTGCTACTGTTATTCTAACGGTATAATTATGTATCTTTTTAAAACGTCGTTAAGAATTTATATTCAGAGAAGGCGACGCATTACGATTTACTACATAGACCTTAGTTCCAGTCCGTGTAAAACCATGTTAAGGTGCCGAAAATACTGTTATTTTAGCCGACATTCAGTCGCGTAAAATAAAAAAACGTAATTTCTTAAATTTTATTACACCTGTTCACGTGACAAAAATTGTAGTTAAGATGACCGCCGAATCGTTAATAAAAAATAAATAACCGCAACACTTTCAAATTACAAACACTTGAGTGCAGTTATCTGTTGGGGTGGAAATTTCAATAACCCACGTCGTCGGTGTACAATAACTACAGTCATTAAAGTTGTAACTGGTTAGGAAATTACGTTTACGGTACAAGAGATCGTAAACAACGTTGTCGGCGGCGGCGATGGTTCGAACACTTCTCGATAGAACCGCTGTCCCGGTGCGGCAGTAGCGCGCGCGCGCCCAATATTTACGACCGTTTTTCTCGCACCGTAATGTTTTTAATGGCTCAATTTAACAGCAATCGTGTATAATAATACGACTGCCGCTTTATCATTATTTCGTTATTGCTGCGGTCGCGTATACCATTGTGAAGTGTGACCGACCGTCGGTGCATTACACGCGTCCGCAGACATCACACGGGATCTGTCCAAAACGTCCCTGCAAAGTGGACAATGACATATCACCGGACGACGATTTTATGAATCGAAATCGTCTCGCCGCCACGTTCGGGCAGACGTCGTGTATGCGTTTCCAAACCGCATCGTAAACATGCCTAATTTATGTACGAGGGGAGTGTAAATGTGATTTTATCACGTGTATTACAACCGTTGGCTTTTTTATGTACTCTCGGGCGGCACGCTCCACCGGCACCACTTTAGGTCGCACATATACCACACGAGCGGCACTATTTTACGACCTGGTTCCACCATATTTTTGCGCCACGCCACTACCGCCGACCAATTACCGCCAATAAAAACCCGTGTTTACACGTCGTTGACTTAACACAATTTTTCCCTCTCGCCCTACGCATCGCGATATCTTCCATCTAACTGCGATGAACCTTTTCCCGTCATATTCAATAAATACTCACAATTTAACGTTGCCGTACACTTTCCCGAGTCGTGCCAATACTGCCTGTAGTTAGTTACTGTAAAATACTTCCGTTTTAATGAACTCTATTGAAATTGCACAGTGTATTATTGAACTGAAAGTTCAAACGTCATAAATTTACATTAGAAAGTATGAAAAACTATTGTTTTGCGCCACTGAGTATTAATATATTGTTTGTTTATGTTGATACGAGAACATTTCGAGATCGGGTTGGGTTGGATTTCGTTTGGCTCAGCGACATTTTCCGACCTTTAAAATTCAACCACGTTACATCTTACTCTATTTGAACAGCATATCAACCGAAATAAACAATATTAGTGTAAAACAATAAAAGTGTAATTAGACCTAAATAGATATATCTTGCCATACGGGTTCATTAACATTAATGATTTTTTATTGGTTACCAACAGACGGGTGTAGTATAACATCACAAATGTTAAAATAATGGTTTACATTTGAAAAATAGCGTTACATCAAAGGTGTACAGACTTTGTGTTGCATTCAACAAAATTATTAATAAAAAATTTTAATGGGTGTACTTTAAAAAATAATAAATGACAATTAAAAATATTATTCACTATTAGATATTTAATTTTAAGTATAGTATCTAAAACAGTATCAATTAGATACTTGATGTACATTTTTAATAAGTTAATTGAATTGTTTCTTACAATATTGTGTTATATATATATATTTATACTGTGAAATGTTTTTTTTTTCCAAGGGATCTTTTACTCGTTTATAATAAATAAAAATATTACATTGATCAGTTAATATTTTAATTTTATGTGCTCTCGGCTGTCAATTAAAGAATTTTTTTTTATTCATCAAAGCCAAACATTAATGTTTTATTGTTATATTTCATTTTATAATGTATACGTTATTTTATTAATTTTGATTTCAATAAGATTCGTTTGAATGTTATCAGTTACAATAGCAACTTCGTAACAGCATTTGTATATTTACTATGAAACAGATAGATTTAAACGTTAAAATAGGTAACGTTTGTTACCTAAGTTTACGAAAACGACCATACAAAAAAGCTCACCAGAGATTTTTTTTTACTTCGACACGTTAAGCCCTTTTGTAACCATGTAAGCTTAACGTAAACTGTAAACATAAACTTTACGGACAAAACTTTCTAAACTTTTCATCGCCACCGTAGGAAATATGCAGCCAGTTAGCTGGTTCGAGTTGAACGATAAATCTTGACTACGTGCAAAAGTTTTGAAAGCATTTGCTGTCGATTTATTACGAGTAAAAGAACTTCATAATTATGTATCAAAACTAATAAACCAAAAATTCAACTTTTTTAGAGATTTTCGCGGTACATTTTTTGAATAACGCAGTTGTTTCATCGTTATAAACTTTTTTTTTATATAAACAAATAATATCTTTCATACATTTTATTCTGGTAGTTTAATATTAAATTGAATTTTAAGTAAATTTTATCTTATCGCCTACTATATAAAATACATATTGTAACTGAAAAAATTACTGAGGAATTTATTTGATTTCATTGAGTAATATTCAAACATAAAATAGTGGTACTTATCAATTATTTAATTAAGCTATTAAAATTACTGCAAGATAACAATTTTATATGAAAATAATAGATTTAATCCAAGTATACAACGAACAGTTTAAAGCACATTTTCCCTGTGGTCTAAACTTAACCTTTGACATTTATTGTAAGTAAAAAACCTTCGAACTGTCCAGTTGAAAATACATTACCGCGTATGCTCTAAGTAAAAATAGTCCTGCACGATTTTCCCTGCTGTAGATTATATCATGTTTTAAAACAGTTGGAAAACAATAGTATATTAGTCTCGGAGTTAATTAGTCCAGTCCGTTGACGAGCTTGGAAATAGTTCAATTAGTAACGTGAAAAAACACAACTCGTGTAAAAGTTTAAATGGCGTCCTTTCAAATCCACTTGTTTACCGCGACGGCAAGTGATTCACTCGATATGGTTTGATAACTTTATTAACGCGGCAAAGATTGATTGCGACTTTGACGACGACCTAGTCGATCAATTAATAATGACACTCATTGAAGACTCGGTCGATGCAATGTCAATGCACGTGTAACGATGGCTTTGCACGTGAACTTCTATTAATGGCAATCTATTATGTTCTCCAATCGAAACGACCCAATTAAAACCCAATGCAGCACTAGAAGTATTGGCCAATTCGGCACGGAAACAATGTAATTTTTTTTTATCGTTAAAATCTCAGCTGGAAACAATTAAAAGAGGCTCCGGATGTGAACGAGCGCATAGACCGTTACCGTGTTAATTAGCACCACAGTACGAGTTCTCCGTGCGTTTCGTGTGAGCAATACGGTAAAATGGAATTGCGAAACGCACGTCACATATCGACTGTACGACAATAACACCGATCCGATGTTTGCATGTGTGAGAGACGACGTGTTGCAAGAGTGTGAGCCCCCCCGCAGACCTCGTGAAAGCTTTCCGAACGGCGTCACAGAACCGGTGCTGTATTGTTTTTTTCCTCTGTGACTTGTCGCACGATGCACGCTGCTTGTGACCCAGTATTTCACCGCGATGCGTGGGCGTGGTCCTCATAGATGTGTACGAGCCGTGTAGTACACGTCTGAAGATGTAGGAGATTTTTCAGAGACCACCACCGGCTATGGTTCGGTCGCACATACCCCTACGTGAGTAGAATAAACAGTCTCGGGTCGGCCGCGAGAATGTTATCGAACAGCGTCATCGCGAATGAAATAAAAAACCAGTAAGGCGCTGCGAACCGAAAGACCACAACCGGAGTTCTCGTTTTATCGACACTTCGCCAAAATAACATCACCTTCTCGGATGAGACTACCGATAACATACAATTATACAGCTGTGTTGCTTATAGTCTGCGCGCGTGTAACTCTTTACATTCAACCGTCTGTACGTTGCATAATAGTAAGTCCAACACTGGTCATTCATGAAGTCTAGGCACACTGATCCAAGTAAACCGACCCATGAAATCGCGTACCGTGTACAACTGTGTTCTTGTGACCGACGTTCATTACCGACGATGAGCACGAGTTTAACATCGAAAACAATGACCACGATGATAAAATTATACCAATAATAACGATGATAATGATAATAAAATGTTATGACACTGGATGAAACCCTACACATCGTAGCAGGTTACCCGACGAGACTCGTTTGATAGACAGAACAATCAATTTTCCGCGATTCCTCCGCAAACTGCAACTGCTTTCGAGACCTTCGACAACGAGACGGCATAGAGGTCTGCATTTTGTGCAAAAATAATTTAAGATCAAATAACAATGGAATACGCATTACTTCTCGGTCGTGAGTTGACTGAAAACTTGTGCATTTTTCTGACACTTTTGGTTTCAAATTCGGAACCAACTCAAAACATTTGCTGCGAAATGTCATCCATTCTTGTGCGCTGTTAACCATTTTTAATAGTTGAAAGCGTTTTGTTTGGACTGTGTTGACAGAAATGTTATCCCCGACCTTTTTGTTCATTTCAAAGCCACAACTCCTTTTATACTTTTTGTACTATTCGAAATAAAGCGAATCGACCCGAAGGTTTTCATAAAAATAACTAAAAACTTGTTGGCAAAACACGTTCCGGGCAACTCGTACGCTGCAAAAATTAATCTCGCATTAGTTTTCCTACCAAAGCCTCGACATCACAGACTACCAACGCGTACCTACGAGATGTAACTATATTTATTCAGATTGTCCGCACACTTCTTCAACGAGCATGATTATAATTTATACTCTGCCGTTAAAAAAGTCTATCATAATAAATAACGTTTTGCCGTGAAATAACGCGCGACCCCCCGATGACCGTTCAAAGAACAACACCATTTCAAATATATTCCTCAACTCCGATACTGTCATTTTGAACGTTACATAATAATAATAATACGCGATATTATTATGTATACCTTCACGATTTATCACCTGCGCACAGCTAAAGAGTTGGGAGCGCACAAGTACGTCGTATCCGTTAGGTTTTTTATTCGAATGGCCCGGAGGCTGCGGCGAAACTTAAATCGTTTAATACGATTAACTCCGTTACTCAATAATAATTCGTATGGAATTTATAGGCAGCCTTAATGCGTTTGAGATGATTATTGAAAGTGTTCACGTTTCGAATGCGCGCTTATGTATTTTTTCTTCTTGATCAAGATATCAACAGAGCTGTACAACAGTCGAACCACCACCACACATTGTGACTTACCAGAGCATAATGGACGAATCGCTCAGTTGTATTTATAGAGAAACGATCGGAGAGATAGCGGAAACGCCAACACGCTAACGATTGAGAACATTAAACGATCAAATGACATAATAATTCCGAGTACAAATATGCATGTTAGTCGTGCAGAAACAATGGGCAACGCGCTAAAACATGTTTTTTACGTGTTTAATGAACGATAAAGGCGAGATAGCCACTGTAGACATCACTTCGTCACGGAGTATTTCCAAACAACAGTGACACATTAAAATCGCATTACGGACGTGGTTATTTTTACAAGACGGAAAACGAATAACGCGCTGGCTGTAGACAAAAAAAAAAAAATAAAACGTCCAATAAAAAACATTTTGCGTCCGTGCCATTTGTCCTCTATCTGCTGTACGGCGATTAAAATCCCATTTAGAACCGCACCGCACGACTTAGAAAGCTTATTACTACCCGCCTACCGAAAACAACTACTCGTGGCCTCCCCAGACCCCTTTCCGTGCCAACTCCCAAACTACGGGGCGCGCGTATATAAAACACACACCTCCCCTTGAAGGATACTCGCCGCTGTTGCTGTGTTGTGTTGTGATCATTTTTTTCCTCATTTATGTGTGTTACACTCGTCCTAATGTGAAATCGATAATATCCCTTTTAGATAGTCCACGTGGTCGCAACTGCGAAAGGTCCACTTAGAAAAGTCATAAACCCTTGTAAATCGTGGTTGCCACATAAATGGAACAACATCGATTGCGTTTATTACTGTAACCGTTATTCAAATGGTATAAGGTGCAAAAGATATGGTGTAATCTTTTACAAGTCGTTTTAAGACTTGAATTTAAGCGGACAATTTATTGTTTCAAAAGAGCCTTCTTACTGAGAACGTTGCGTTATAAAGTCAAATAATCAGTACTCGGATATTAAAATATAAAAGACAAGTAATGTAAAATATGGAGACGTCGCATTTACACTACTGGCACCAATGATCTAAAACGTTTCTAAGTCGAATCGGATTTGAAGCCGATAACCGCATAACAATTAATCCTATTTTAATAACAGAGTTGGATGATATCCAATGTAATAATCAGCCAACGTGTAAGTATAATGAATAAACGACGGCAAAGCACTCATATGATTAGTACCTCTTTTATTTAAACACGCAATAATTCATAATGTTCTTAAACAGAATATATCTAAAGACGTTTAAAGAACATCAACCCAATTTACATATCATTAATTAATAATATTCTTCGTGTGTTTTCTTGCATAACCACTAAAATCATAAATAATAAAATTATTCGTTTATCAATAAAAACTGATCAATACGAATCGTTATTTTAAATAATTAATTTAAGAGTTGTTTTTTCAAATTTTTATTGAAATAAAAATGTGTCCTACAGTCTGTTGACGATTTGAAATTTTTAATTTGATCTTCAACAATTAACCAAACTAAGCTCCTTTTTACCGAACTAAACAAATTAGTAATATTAATAACAAAAATTGGCTTAACTCTTTCACAATTTAATACAATTAAGCTGGTAGTTTTCTACGCTAGTCAACTATTTAACTAGGTTTTGCAAGTGTTTTTTGATCGTCGTTATCATAATTTATTTTTATCTACCGGAAACACATGAACATTTTTAACAGCAGGTGTACTGCTTAAAACTTATCAAATGTTATTTGTACAATGTGTACATTTACGCCGACAAAACAGAAAGATTCTGAACATTGCACTTAATTGGAAATAATAAGTACTTTCTTTTATTCAACTAATTAACACCAAGTGGTTGTAATAAATATAGTTATCATTGATTTAGTTGTGTTATTGATTTAGTTGTATTATATGTATGCTGGCATTGTATTACAACGAGTGGATATAGTTGACAAGCGATTGGACGCATTGTTATCGAGTAACTGTAAGTAAAAACGCTAGCACTGGTTCACACTGGTCTTTTTTTCATTGGATTTTTTTTTTTTTTTTACAATGACAATCTCTATCGTATCGGTTAGTTTTTTTATTAAATTAAAAATCGTAGAAATCGCAACTCAAACAAATAATACCTTGACCGCGATTAAAAATTGATTAATTAAAGAAATAAGGTGATTAGCATGTGGTTTATTATGGATAATCATTCACTAGTGTACAATAAACTATATTAAAGCATACTCTCTTGTTTATCACTACAATTTATTTTCTCTCGCGTCTGTTTAAAAAATAAAGTTCAACGTACAATCATTATCCATAAGAAATTTATATTTGTTTTTGCCTATTAAATAAATTTAAATTCTTATAAAATAATTCTAAACGCCTTTAATTACGTAAACCAGTTGACTTTTGACCTAAACAGTTGAAACTGTTTTGCAAAAACTCACGTAGGCTAATATTGTGTTCACGCGCTGTTTTCTTAACTCCTTAAGATAAATAAAACGAATTGTACAAATATTTTTAAGCAATACATTCCTCAAAATTGAATTTGAGCTAAAACGTAAAAATTTGCTATTAGATAGGAATCTTCAATTTTCTGTTCATTGTAATCGAATAAGACATAAAAATATTTTTGCAAGAAAGAAGTTATAAACGAAGGTCGCCGGAAATGGTAAAGGTTAACAATATAACATGTGACTGTCTTAAATTCGTGAATTATTTAGTTAAATTTGTGCTTTGTAACATATTGGATACTGTTTTTTAAATATTTTTTTGAAAATAAAATCAAATTATAACTCCAAATAATATTTATTACATATATATAAATAAGATTTATAATAATTTAAATTTATATAAATGTACTATATGAAATTCGTCATTTAATTCTCTATGATGATTTTATTATTATTTTTATAAAATAAAAATATAAAATATATGTCTCGATATTGATTTGTACCATAGAATACGTACACTCGTAATCCAACCCAACGTAAATGATTATAATATTGTAAAGAAGAACCAACTCATTTGAAATAAAAAAAAAATATCATATATTTTATTTGTTACAAATAAATACGATTTTTTAATAAATTTCAAAACGTAAGTGATTTATAGTGCGTAATACCACGAAACTAAGTTTACATGATTAATGTACTAAAGAAGGTAAACGTGGGACAACAACAAATTTTAATATTAAAGACGAAGTTGAGACTGAGGAAAACTTTTTTCAGGTGCGACCCAAACCTATGCAGTGGCTTCAAGCCAAGAAAACTGGCATCTGAGACGGTGTACGGTATTAAAAAATAAACCGACTTAGCCATAGTAAATATATATATATACCTCGATTGCCAAACGCTGATGTCGCCGTCTCTATTTTCTTAGCGTGTACAGATTTTATCTTGTTTTATTTTTTCATTCGTCTCACCTCACACACACACCACTCGATCCCACAACCACACCGGACCTGAGGGATTTATTTTTTTTAATATAAACGTTCTATAGTGTGTATATTATATGTACAAAAACTGAAGTAGGATCAAGCTCAGTCCAATTAAAAATGAAATACGACGTGTCCTGCCATAGTCGCTGATCCATACTCCACCAACGCATTTAACTATTCACAACATACACACACTTAAACAAATATATGCTACGGGGTTTCACGGTGTGTCTCTTTTAATTAATCAACACAACAGCTAATCATCATCGCCTCAAAGCTTCACACTTCTGCTTGCATCATTAAAACATTTCCTTTACTCTATGAACCTGAAATTAAGAAAAAATAAATTAAAATGAAATTTTAGATTTATAGTTTACATTAAAAATAATTTGCATCTAACTTAGTTCTGATAATTATATTACGATCGTATAAAAACGTATGAATATTTTTTTTTACACATTTATAATGCCGTATGTAGTATTTCAATCAATTATTATAATTCATAAAATACATTTAAATTTTAATGAGCAAATATTTTCAAATTTATATATATATATAATATACTTCATATATAATTAATTTGTTTTCTTTTACTACGATCCGATAGGTTGCTTATGATAAATCATTAAAATAAAAAAATTGACAATTCAATGATAACGAGTCATCAATGTAATTCAATTATTCTATACAGTTAGTTATTAATAAAACTATGCTAATTGATATATATATATATATGTTTTCATAATTAAATATAGAACAAAATTTATAATTATGTTTAAACAATAAAATTTGTTTGTATAGAAATCAAATGGCTGGTAAATGATTTTTTTACAATTTGTTTAACATGAGTGCCGATTACACAGACATTTTCCGTGAAATCTTGTAGTATAATAATATTTAACCATAACACTGTTTCTGTGAAAAACGACTCAATAATTAACACAATAATACTATAGAACTGAACCGACCAACAGTTATAAATGTCGTGATTGATTAAAGTCACAGGTTTCATTAATGTCATTACAACAATTTATTCAGTTATTTATGTATTAACAACTTTTAAATTTCATTGTTTTTATAAATGTTTATATTTCACATAATGTGATATGTGCTACGGTTATGATTAATAACAGATGGCATACGATGAACATACAAATGAAATTAGACGAGAAAAAATATTTTTAATTAACTACTGTAGCTCACTTATTGTTTTTCTTTGAAATAAAATATTTTGATTTTCATTGATCGTTACGCCAAATCGTTTTCCACTATTGAAATTGAAGACAACATATTCGATGACAAGAAAGGATATTCTTTTAATCTAGCGCTTTCATTGGTAGCATAAAGCGTCGCTGACTTATTTAGATTTCAATTAAAAAAACCGTTTTTCACGATGCGTTACATTCTATTAATAAAATATACACCAGCCACTTCCGAATGCACCAGACGTTTTGATGACTTCGGTCAATCTACTTGTGTATAATATTATACATTCGTGTACCCCATACCCCATTATTATAATTGCTACATGGTCATAGTTGCGTCATGGAGTAGGTTTTTTACTTCAAATTAGTGTAATTCATACCTGTATAATAACACACTAGACCTAAATTATCCTACTGTTAACATAATTAATAACGATTGCTAATTATTTTATTATAAATTGTACGTTTTGTTATTACAATAAGTTCAACATTTCAATGTGATTTTAGATAAAAATCATTAGACCATAGCAACTGGTGATGCTATAGTTCTCTACGACTTCTATGCTAAACAATTAAAGTCTAATAATTAGTAAGCTGAAAATAATTTATCACTGCCTCTGTGTACAAGGTCGAATGCACTAATATAATATCGAAATAAAAGTACAAGATAAAGAAACTTAGGCTTATAAATTATCTACAATACAACGCACGTCAGGTACATAAACTTAATTTAAAAATAATATAAATTACATAATATGTAAAATCGGAAGCATAACAGTTCCCAATTGCTTATTGATACTTGATTTATATTATAAATACAAGCCCTTTGTCCGAGTCGACACGCGACACGTCATACACTAAAATGATTACACTCTTGGGCACTTGATTTGCAGTGTGGTATCTTAGTAAACTGTTATAACTCCATTGTTCAAACCTATTCAAAATTTTGCTATACTTGTATCCGTTTTAGAACAATATCGGGTTTTCAAAACCGTTATAGAATACTATCAACAATAAGTTATACGATACACAGCACAGTTCTCTTTCTAACCTACATTGCTCACTCTTTCGTTTTTCTTTCTTGAAAAATGTTTTTTCCGTCGCCAGCCTCTATTCAGTTCTGCTGTTATGATAATAATATTATATTATTTTACAGGCCAGGTTCCCTTTAATGGTAAATCAAATATAAAACATATATGTATTGTCGTTATAGTCGTAGTCCAGCCCAAGAGTCTGATGTTGTATAGCCGATGACAAGTTGTTGACGACTTAATCGCAACTATATCGTGATAGTGTGTGTGCGAGTGTACCTATATTTTTTTGCGAGGGTCGTTTGCAAAATGGATACACAATGAACGGAATGTCTGAAAGCCTTAATCGGCGGTAGCAAACATGGTTAAAGACGTGTAGTTAACCTAAAAAAATGTTTATTAAATATGTTAAAACCGACCTTCAGAGTGCCATATAAGATAATATTTTCAAATCATTAAGCTACCTCTTAACGTAACTTTACTACGATTACTTAATAGAAAAATTATTATGTTTTATGAGTGAAATTTCTTCTATATTTGTAGGCTGACAAATATATTTAAAAAAAAAGTTTTGACACAAAAATTTATGGATTAAAATTAAAAAACTTGGTTGGTTGTTTTGGCTAAAGCATTGTAATATGAATAATAGTTACAAATGTAAGTGAAACAAAAAATTCAAGTTAAAATTCAAAAAGGGGAGAAATGTTTTTTTCAAACTGGTGTCCCTGCAAAAGACGTAGTAGTGGTGATTTATGGTCAAAGAGCGTTTGGCACGCTCTGCAACGCATGCCGTAGAGGGTTCTGCGTGTTTTGGGATATTTGCATATATAATAAAACTATGGTGGTCGATGCACAAGAGACAGTCTAGAATGATTTGTGGTTCGATTTTTTCCTTCCATCTTGCCAGTTTTTCTCGGACGATGTTTTATTTTTTACACCCTTTTTTGCGTATATTTATTGTCATATTATAATACGATCTTAAACCCATTTCTAATGATATCCGTAGTAGGTAAATACCATCCTTTTTTTTTTTTTTTGTCAGTGCGCCTACGACCTTCTCAACCGTCGTGTAAACACTTCTCCTATTTTTTTTTTTTTTTTTTAGAACCTTCAATAACCCCTGGGCACTTTTCTGGCGTTTACGCCGAGTTTAAGTGTGTTGTGTGCGTGTGAACGTACAGAAAAGAAATATTAGGCAACGCTCAAGAAAAAATAATACCCTAATAAATCGTTTATGGTGAAGACATTTTTTTATTTATATTCGAAATAGTTTTTTATTTTTTATTATAAATCTACAAGAATACTACTGCCATAGCCGAATGAAATACGAGAGGATATTCCGGTTTTATATAAAAAAATATATATAATAGTAACCCTAAAGAAAGCATACACATACATTACCCTAAGCAATAGAAACGCAATTTTTTAAACGGACAACAAAGAAATAAAATAGATGTTCACGAATACATTTTTTGCATGTGAATAATATTTTAATAGTATAATATACTAGTACTAATAATATTTGTAGTGATTAGTGACAACAACTGTTTGATGTTAAATATTGTAATAATAGGTGTATTACGTTAAATAGTGTACTCGTTTTGAACGAGCAATACGATTTGGCTAAATATATTCAAAGGATAAGTTTACATGGAGGTAATAGGTGTAATATATATAACATGGATGAAACTAGACTTGTTAAATAAAATATACAGAGTGTGAAATGTGATCACTTTTCCTTTAATAAATACTAAAGTCAGTGCTATCTACTGTATGGAATCGGATGCAGGATTGACAGTCTCCCTTCGAACCGACGCCATTAGTTTTTTATCTTATTGGCGCCCAATGAATCAACGATGGTAGTGAAGATTTACTGCGGTGTATAGGATTCTCCCTCAACCGTGCAAATACTTATTTTATCCTGAGGGATACGATTTCGGCCGACCGATCGGTTTAGGTGCACGCTTTTTACAAGTGAGAGCGGGGAGGATATATTTGCATGGAATACGCATTAAAGGCTACGGTGGTGGCAGCATCGGGCAGAGATAAATTTTACTCCGTCGGAGGGATTACCTTCATCCACTACCTTCCCTTCTGGTCGCATGTCCTCACAGACAAATAGCTCCTGGTGAAGGCGTTCATGAATTAAACAAAGAAAACGAACGTGGTCCGCAGTGGAACAACGCAGGAAAATAAATTGGTTTTTTGGTTCTGCAAAAACCACAACGTTGTGGGGCCCGAATTTATTTATACATATATAAATATATCTGGGAGAGTTTCTTGAGACAAGGTAATAATATAATTGCGGTTGGCTTGGCAGGGAGTTTAATGGAATCTGTTTTAATTATTTCGCTATGGCTATTTTTTTATTCCAAGCCGATAAAAATGAGATTGGTTAAAAACGTGACACAAAGCATATCAATGCCCTTGTAAAAATTTACATATATTTTTGCCCGTCGACATTATTTTTAATGATTACCAAATTCTAAGATCTCTCTTGTTAAGTCGAAATCATCTAAAACATGCTGATGATTTGATTTACCTTGGTAATATTTTTGGTGCTTAAAGTTAAAAAAAAACAGCCCTCTCCGTTCCCAGATTAATGATAAAATTATCATAAGCTTTTAATTAAAAACGAAAAAAAAATCTATACCATGATTACATCACAAAAACAAATATTTCATTTTTTTTCTCCTGTTTAATATATATATAAAGTAAAAATTTGACTTGAGCAAGCTCTAAAAGCTAAAAATCACTTTTTACGCGAGGACTTAAATAATAAAATTTATTTTCTAGGCGTATTTTTTTTTTCAATAAATTTCTTCTAGCAAAACCTAATGAAGACAACGGTTTAGCTATAATAAGTCCATAAATAATGTATTGCCTATTATACGTCATTACTACTCACCCAACTGGTTATTAATATTAGGACGGCAAGAAATTTGTAATTTATGTCTCTGGTAACATAATATGGCACTTCATAAAACATGATAATTTTATAATCGACCGAATCAGGTTTAATTTCACCTGGATTTATTATATTTTCTACGTTCAATTTGTTTATGGTACGCCGCGAGTTTAATTATTATGATAATACATTAATTTCTTCGCGAATATGACACTGATAACGTAAAAGATTTATGATATCAATTATCTGGTAAAATTACTACAAGACCTCGTCACAACCCTTAAAGATTTTTTCTTTGATTTCACACAATTCCTGGGAAAGAGTATCGCGGTGTAGTTATTAATTTATAACGGTGTATATTATTTTAATGATTTATTTTTCGTTTAAAACCTGGTGCTGCAGGCGCCCCCCCCCACGGCCAGTGATACCGTTTAATTAGTTTATTACGAACCCACACAGGTATACTATAACTATTTATACTACATTATTACTATACACTTTATACCAGAGCACGTCTCGAAATATTCCAATTACGGCGCGCCGGCAAAGAGTGGAGAGTTAAGGGAGATGCGAACAGTCGTGTGGTCGATGGAAAATATAACGAGCCCACCGACGAAAGCGGTAGCAACAAGTGGGCGCCTCTGATAACTGATAAATATTAAAATAATCAGAAACTCGGACCGCCCGTGGAGGGAACCCAGTAAAGCGTAACGGAGCAAAGGCGACCCATCGTACGAATTCACCATAGAGAAATAGGGCAAGCCAAACGAGAATTCGCAATCAACGCTGTTGTCGGGCAAATAATAAATATTTACAGTGCATAAATACACAGAGAGTATTGCTTTTTAAACTTACAGCGAATAGTCTATCGGTTGTCACCGGTGTTCGTTTTTAATAAATGTGTGTTTTTTCCATTGTGTACTGCAGCAACAACAACAACAACAATATATAAGTTTCGTGACTTCCGTCGGTGTGTTTTGGGCTTAGGTTTACGTAAAAAAAAAAAAAAATTCGGTAGCAAAGTATGTATACACGCTTCCCTCGGCCGCGACCGAAGAAGTTTCCGGCCATACATCACGCAGATTTATTGCTCAGGTCCGCGTGCGACAGGTCAGAAGAGAATATTGTCCTTGCGCGAGCGGCTAAAGAAAATATATTGTTTCTCCCGCAATTAAAATATGTAATTTGCCATTATTATTCTTCACGTCCCGCAGCAGTTTTTTTTTTTATCCTAAACGAATTTCCACGACGGAATTTACTTTCGCTAATATTAAAAAATGAGTTAAAAAAGAAAAAAACAGAAACTCAAGTCTCGTCGCGAAACTAAATTGTAGTCATAACGGAACGCGAGAAAACGTCTTCGCCAATAGCTAATCTTGCCGCTATCCTTTTGGATTAGTTTTCGTGTAATGTAAAAAATCCGAGTCCTATGCGTGCCGTGGTTTGTTTTCGATATTACAACAGGAATACACGACGATCAGGGGAAAAAATCATGTCGTGTGAGTTCCATAGACAATGCAGTATTATAATGTACTACGGCGTGGGCTGAACGACACACAAACGTCGAGAGCGTCTTTAAATCGTGTGTTTTATTCTTTCGGGTGAATAACATTATTGGCGGCGATATTGTTGAACGCTGTTTTTTTTTTTTGCCTCGAAGAAATATTTTGAATTTTTATAAATATTTCGACAATCTCAAAAATAACATAATCGGTTCGATACACCAACCCGTAGCAGTGTTGATGGCTTCGGCACATTTCTACAAAAGGCACACAGTTCCTTCGGTCACAACTGCCCTTAATCCAAGGTCAAAACAGTTAAAAAAAAAAAAAAGCGTTATCGCAATCTGTGCAAAAAAAAAAAGGAATCTGTACTCTTGTTTGCAAATATTGGAAACCGCTGTGTCCGACCTCGATGAAAACAAATTTCACGGTCCGTTAATGGACAACACACATTACACACGTTTTTCACGGTCAGCCGATATCATGTTTTTTTCACGTTCTAGCCGTGTCCTTTAAAAACATCATGAACGCAATAGCGCCGCGTCTGCAGCATTAATTAAACGTCTTTTATTAATTAAGTCGTGTTATTGGTACTAGACGCTTGTAACATAGCCCGAAAAACTTTATATAATATTGCAGCCTATTTTATTGTTTTAAATTAGATTTTAACTTACCACACTATCTAATAGAGATTGTACCGAGTATTCTTAAAAATTACTTACCCCTAACGTATTATCCTTTGTTATAGGTTCAAATATAAACAACACTAAACACTTCAAGACTGCGTTCGACGAAAGACACAAATACCAAAGAGGTGAGCACTCTTATATAAGATTAGTAATACTGAACCTCGTACACGACGTTTCCGTTTAAGATACATGGAATCAAAATATCTGTCCTTCGAAAAAAAAAAAAGGCTGGGACACTTTTACGACCTTGTTTTTATAGGCTCATGATGTTGTTTATGGGCCCATTGACTGTGCAGGGGCACCTGGAAGGAAGAAAAATAATATTAATACAATAAAGTATAGTGCCGTTAGCCATTGCATAATGTTCGATAGGGACGTTTTCTATTCACAACAACGTTATACGATATCGGTTTCGACGACCTTTCTGCTCATTTTTCTCTACATTTATTTTTCTCTTAATAAACACTGTAAATGTAACCACGTGATTATCTATGACGATAACATCAAGTCGTTTAGTATGAATCATAGTAAAAATAAATTATTCAAATAATGTGTTTTATCGCATATCATGAAATCATTATCCGGTCAAAAACGTACACCCGACAAAAATTTTAATTTAATTACATTAAATTGTAAACATTACTTACTAAATTAACATTTTAAGAGGTCTTGGTGTCTTCTTAATCATTCAACAATATCATAAACTGTCGACACATATGACTCTCGCATAAAAAAAACTTTATGCACATGCTACCGTTTACTTTTTTATAGATCGTGATTTCGATGCATAGCTAATAAGCTTATTCAATTTTAAACAATAGAGACGTTATCAAAAAAATGAATGTCCAACGGTTATCTTTCGAATGCGGTAGACATTTTCGTCAAACAACCCCGTTGGATCGTCACCCTCACTCGTGTATACCGGTTTTGCAATCCCAAAAGGATTCGGGGCGTCCCCTATACAACGTTCCACAGCTGCTAGCAATTTTTTAATGGCCACCGTATACCTCTCCCCCACGCCTCATCCCCAAAGGACGGCCCATCATTCAGTTGCCATCATAATGCTTTGAGTCATTCGGTCAGTTTGAAACAATATAATCGTGCAATATATTTACTGCAGTATTAACCGATAAGTCGGCGTTAAAAGTTCTCGATAAACTTTTTAGTGTATTTCGTTTAGTTAAATCGTTTTTTATGTGTTCTTAATATAGTGAAATGTACGCTACCGTTGTAGTATCAAATTCAGACGGATTTCTCTGTCCTTTGGATAAACTATATGGATTTAGGTGACGTTACTCTTAACTTGAAAGGTAAACATGAGCTTTGTCGAAAATAATTTTATCAGTTAATTTTACGTCTGCTTCCAATAGTTGAGATATTTCAAATTAATTTTGAAATCTCAGTAGTCATGAAATATACTAATCGTTTAAAGGAAAATTATTGATAACGGTTCACATTTCTTTGACTACGATAATTTTGCGTTATCTTACTGATTCGGAGAAATTCCCTCAAAAGTCGGTATTTAACAAAAATATTTGATATTTCAACATATAATTACATTAATTTTCATAATAGAAACTGATCGAATTAAACTATGTACCATTTTTTTTTTTTTTTTAATTATTGCAACTTGGGAAATATTCTTAACATAAATTTAAACAATTTTTAATTTCTTAATTAGTTTTAATTCGAAGAAAACATTAGATATTTATTAAATGTTTATTTTTTTTTAATTTTATACTTTACGCAATCGCATTTTAACCATAAATTTAAAATGTTGAAATCTTTCAGTCTCCTATATAAGTTATTAATTTTAATAAAGTTTATAATGTTTATTTAAAAAAAGCATCTTGAAACTTATTGTTAAAAATGCAATTTTTTTTTTAGTTTAAATAAGCTTACTTTTTTTCAATTGTGTGTATATACTTAACCAAAGTAGGGCGTTATTGTGGCAGCTTTTTCGAAATAGATGGGTAGGACACCGTATATTTATTACATAGTATGCGTCTTCTCACTACTGAGCTATTGGCATATTAATCTTGCGTGGCTTCACCATACCGTTTGCTGCATAATATAGAGGCCATAGAGGTGGGCTGTGATTAAACGCTGAATAATTTAAACCCCTTGCATATATATGAACCGCACGAGTTCTGCACGGGAGGGGTTAGTTATAAGCACTGGGAGAAGTGTGCGACTGCTGCAGTTTGTAAAGGGTTAAAGGGAGGAAGACCAATGGGATTTATTGGCCTGTAACACATGTACGACGAAATCTCTCTTCGCGTATATTTTATGAGAGCGGTGTACGTATAAATACTAACTGTAGTTGTATGAAATATAATATATTGTATGAATTTGGAAACGAGTACCGGATGTATATGATTTATGTGGTGTTGGGCTAGTCATAAATTTAAATCGAAACGCTCGTCAGCAAGAGTGCAAAAGACATTTTAGACGAAGATTATTTATGAAAAGCGTATTCTTAGAAAAATAATTTATACGGTAACATTTGTAGCACCTTAAAAATAAAACTATATCACAATCGAAAATGTTTGGTTACATTGGTATAAGCAGATTCAATTTAAATGTTACTGTGGAGTTGTAGCAGCATGCGACCACTTATATTCGATTTAAAGTAATTAACAGGAGCACCAAGCTTAGATATGTAGTGAAGTAGTTCACTCGAGTTCAGTTTGTTTCGTGTTTAATAGTTCCCATACATATAACACTCTATTGTAGAATGTTACTAATAAGAGAAGAACCCGTATATATATATATATATTATAATATTCAAAACACACATATGCATACAGTCTTTTTTTTTTTTATGAAGGAGAGAAACGACCAAGGTCAGACGAAAAAAATATACCAACATAGATTCCTACTGGCAGATAACACACGCGTTGCATATGAAAACTGGTCCTATACTGTAACATGACTGTACATCGGTGACGGGGTTTTAACACAGCACGAATATTTATGTTGGGGGACGGAGGGGGGACAACCCCCAGCGGGAGTCTGTACAGGTATTGAGAATTGAGCATAGCATAATATCAGGAAACAATGTACACAGAGACACTGAAGACTAGAAAGCCCTTTCTTCATAAGAAAACCTACCTACGGGGAATCGGTCAAGGCAAAATTTCTCGCAGGAAGAGAGAATTGCGTGTATAGGTGTGATGTTATAAGCCTATTGTTATACTGGTATGATGTGTGTATGTGTGCGAGTGTATCGAAAAAGGTCGAATTTCTTTCAAACACAATCCAATTGTTGTATGAAAAGAGTTTCATCAAAATCGTGTAGCCGGCGATTAAAATACATGGGGTTCATCCTCTTGGGCCATAAATAATAATGCCACCCTGGTAAAATAATACCGCACTGCACCAATGAACCACAAAATATCTTGTACCAACAATTGTTTAAAAAAGTGAGCCACGGGACTCTCGGGTTCAGTTCAGAAATTCACTGAAAACACGTTTTTGACTTTTTTTATTATTATAATCAGGACACTTTTTTTTAAACTTAAAAATACTTTTTTACCAATACCACAACTTAGTTTTGAATGATAATAGAAACAAGTAGTCATTGTTTCGTTGTTTGTTTGTTTGTTTATGCATTAAAAAAAAATTTGATTTATAACTTTAGCCAAGTTAAGATCCTGGTTGCCCAATTCAAAACAAAATCAATTGATTCACTATTGTTTATATATATATATATATATATATATATAACAGAGATATTGTGTAGCTTCAAATACCCAGTAAAACCATAGGAATAAAAGAAGCGAAATAAAGTAAAAATCAATAAAAATGTTTGTGTTATTTTTTTCGAGTGAATAAAAATAATATTAATAATTCATAACAAAAAGAAACTTGTCCACTGGTTTCATTAAAATTTTCCATTTAAATTGGCGGTTCCTTAACATGCAATTAGGTTTCATTCTTTATAAGGTGCATAAATTAAAAAACTATTAATAATAATTATACACACAGCCATGATTTATGAGTTGCGCCTGACGCGCGCGCTTTGTTTTTTCAATAAAATCCTGTAATAGGTAAATTTATGATGTGTGTTTATTGTAATGCATTATTATCATAATAAAGCTGCAGTGAAATCTATTAACCCACGCTAGACGGGCTATGGTGTGCCGACGGTCTCATACGGTAATAACTCATTATAATTACATGGCACGTCAATCAGATTTTTTATAACCGAGTTCTATTTACGATGCTTGAAGAATAACAACCAAATAAAATATATTAATTACTATCGATTAGCGTTCGAACCACAATAATGAGTTTACAGATATTAAAGAGTCCATCTCTTTAATGTTTCGTGAATCCCTTGGGTTGTATCTGTAAAAATTAATAATTTTTTTTAGAACAGCCAAGATGGAAAATTATTTTTTAGCTCTTATGGTAGCTAATAGTTTTTCGACGTACAGAGCTTAACAGTTTAATCAGACTGGCAGGCTAATGAAACCGCTCGTCTCGGCTCGCGTCAGACAAGAGTGGTCGGAGGAGAGAGAACCTCTGTCGTGTGAAATTAGCATTTTGTAGACGACTATGTGTCGGGCCCGCAATTGTTGAACGCGGCCTTCCTCTGAACAATGAGAATTATTGCGATTCCAATGCGTTTCATGTGTTATTACACACAGATATATATAAGCCGTATCTGTGTACCTTCGACATCCGAGTTGCGCGTGTATTACAAATTCTCATGTTAATTGGAGCGACGCGCATGATTCGCCGTAGTCTCCAGCTGTTATGCGACATATCTTCTGTTTTACACATTATTCGTGCCGTTACATTTGCCGACGACGATTTCGTACCAACAGTTCTGACTTGTCTTGGAATTGTTTTTATTCAAGTTCCACGCGGTTGTATAGTAACCAATGATTTTTCCATACGGACATTTTACGAATGATAAAACATTCATAAATTTCGTATTTCATAGACCTGTCGCAATGTCTAGAAATGATAACACTATTAATATGGTACAAAAGTCTTATTATTCAAACGAACCTTCAAAATCTTTGAAAGTGTTACTATAGTTCACAATAAACGTTTCATGATTTATTTATCAAATAAAGCACGCAACAAGACAATTACCTGTCATGTATTATAAAATTATTCAAAACTCGTCTCTGGTCACCATTGGAGTTATTCTGATTTGGTTGTCTATAAATATTTTTTATTTTCATTACTAAACGGTTGTATTAATGTGTGCACTTAAGGGGTAATGTAAGTGTGAACGCAGCCTCGTAAATTTTGGGCAGACAGAGGCAGCTGCGATGGGTATGCGCGCGGTGCAGCCATGTTGGCCAGCCATAATGAAATAGGAGGTCCGAGTGTCAGCAGACAGTTGACAAGCGGATTTTTCAGTCTCCCATGCATTACAGCAGATGCATGTACATACACACTTAAAGTCGCACATTATTATTACTATGTAGACGAATGTAAACGTCTTTGACTCATTTGAAGATTTTAGACTTGGACTTTAGTTTACCGAGTACATATGTCTTGTCATACGTATTCCTTTGGGCTATATATTATTATTGTGCATCGTAAATTATGTTGAAATAGTTTTAGATTTATTTATAAACCTTACACACTAAGTATAGGTTTATAAACTTATTTAACAAAGGAACGATATTTGTGTCATCGGTGTAATAAATTAAAAGTGACACATTTTAGGTAACTCATTTTAAAATTAGAAAAAATTTCGTGTACTATTAATCACAGTCATTATAATTTTATCCACTGGACAATATAAACATTTTTTAAGATAAATAACCATTTGGAGTGTATAATATATCATTCACTCTAAATGATTATTTAATAGAACCTTTGACTTATGTGAAAAAGAATGATTTAATAAATCTCATAATATTATTGAAAAGTCAACCTAGCCTAATGTATCCGTATGGCATACCAATTATCTTGTGACACAAACGATACCGGAGTAATTATACAAAAAAATCCTAACATTAGTTAAAAAGCAAATCCTATTTTATTATACGATCTGACTTTATAAAATAGTAGCCCCGTTATCTGCTTAATACAGTGTGAAGTCAGTAGTTGTATATCATCTTCCTGTTCATTACATTAGATGTAGGTTCTAATAATATTAACTAGAGCTGATGTTGAAGTTTATACAGACAGTAAATCGATTCTATTTGAGTAAAAAACAGGGAATTGATGTATGGAAATATGAATTTAAGAGTATAAAATAATCATTTTACTTGATTTCTTGTAATTAATAAAACGAGCATACATTTTGACTTAAATTAAAACCCATAAGGCAAATGGATGATACAGTGATTTAACTTTAAATAAATGTAATTTTTTAATATTAATGTATGCCTAAAACAATTTTATCACATTTTTATTTTATTTAAAAAATATAAGTTTTTAATTTTTAAGAAAGAAAGTAAAATGTAACAAATTTATATTTGTTTTACAAATGTTTATAAA